AAATAATATTAGGCTATTTTAGTGCGATATGAAAGGATATAGGGATCGTTAAACAGAATATTTCAGTTATTAAATGGAATATTGTACAACAGGACCTTATCAGGGATTTTATGTGAAAATGAAAAAAGAAGATAATTGCACACTGTTCAGTAGATGTATTTCGGCATTTCATGACTCTCCACAAAAAATCTAGAAGCGTCAAATCAGATGATTCAGCGGTCCATTTTAAGGTATGTCATCTTGCTGAAATGTAACATCAGTTGAAAACTCATTTGGATTAATCAATTATCACTACGCCACTGGATTCAGAGTGCCTCTAAACAGGTGTGACCAAAGTTATGACAACTGAAAAATTCGAAAACTCACACAGCTAACAGTTACAAAAAACACCCTATATCAACAGATATAGCCATGAGATTTTGTTTGTTTGTTAAAACGATTTCTATACATGTTCACGAAGTACCTCCGCTTTCTTCACATTTTACTCCATCCATCCTGAAGACAATAAATGTTACATATTTAAAAATATACGCTTTTCAAAGAAGGTATTTGACAACATCCCCGATTCTATAAAAAGCAAGTAAAACCATTCGTATATGAAGAGATTGAACATCCTTCGAAAGCTGCTCTAATTCTAAATTAAATAAGAGGAAACCTTACTCCCGTTCGCCTCCATTCAGGTTATATATCCATTTGGATTATGGAATGAAATATTTCCATTTTCAGAAGAATGGAACTGAAGATGGGAAATATACAGTTTACAGATTTTATACCAGGTGTTTCAGAATTTGCACTACATATCTAGAAGATAATCGCTTTTACTGATAACATACTAATGTATTTTAACATAAACGACTAATAAAATTTACTTTGTATATTGTGGAAAAAGCTAGTCAAAACACTTGAGATAATTGTCCAATACAAATGCTCAAATACATAATTTTTCAGTATTTATTTAAAAAAAAATGTTTCATTAGGTAAAACATCAATATGATAGGGCTCTGGATTACAAAGTAAACTGATTATAAGTTGTTCGATTGACATGAATGTCATGCATGAATAGAGAGCCACCATCATAATTAGCTGATCTAGCAAACGTTTTGAAATATAAATTACTAGTCGTAGCTCGCGACTTCGCCCGCGTAGAATTTGGTGGTTGTAGTACTAATTAGTACTATGTTGTTGTATCGCTGCTGTTTCAATGTTTTGACAGAATCATAATCTACGAACTTAGGCGTGCGCAGCGTTATAGAACAGTGCTTTCAAAAAATTGTTCTACAGCGCCATCTACTGGCGAGTTACAGAAAAACTGATAGCCTAAAAACCTTCTCTATGAAAAATTACTTATACATGCCAAGTTTCATCACGATCGGTTGAGCGATGTAGAAGTTTATCACTTACCAACCAACCAACCAACCAACCAACCAACGAATATGATTCTAAATAGAATGAATGTCAAAAAATTTCTGGGTAGGAACACCCTAATCACCTAGCGGTATGAAATATACTTTACTATCCTTGACAGGAAGCTAACATGGAACTCTCACCTATAGAGTAGAGCAAAAAGAGCATACGTGGCTTATGAGCAACGTCGGAGGACAGTGGGACGCGCATGGGGTCCTTAACCCGTGTAGTCACCTGGATCTACACTGCACTAAGACCTATGTTAATGCATGTAGCCATTGCATGGGGACCGAAAGTTCTACAAGCAACGGCCATCCAAAAATTATATCAAATACAGCGACTGGCTTGTTTAATCATCACAGGAGCCATGAGAACAACACCAACCGCGGCAATGGAATTAATCACGGGTCTGACCCCTCTGGATCTGTACGTTAAGGAGGTTGCGTTAATGGCCATGGTACGATTGCGCACGGCTGGTGTAAACCTCGAAGTAGGAATGGGGCAATTGAGGCTGGGCCTATGGCGGGAAGCGCTTACTGCGCAACCTCTGCTGCAGGCAACAAGCGATGCAATTGAACACAGGTTTGTGTTTAATAAACCCTAAAAAATACAAATTAAGCAGAACATAGAATCAGATGATACAAATACAATTCGTATTTATACAGACGGCTCTAAAACCAAAGAAGGCTCAGGGCGTGGAGTGTACTCCAGAGATCACTAAGCCTAAGAATTGAGTGGGGGGTGGGAAGAAATACCAGCGTGGTCCAAACAGAACTGGCTGGTATCTCAATAGCCACAAAAGAAATAACCAAGAAAGGAATTTCTGGCAAAAACTGACAATCTGCACTGACAGCAGACAAGCCCTATTAGCCTTGAACAGACAACGTATAACCTCAAGGCTAGTACTAGAGTGTCACCAAGATTAAGCCAAAGCCTCGATAGATAATAACATTATCCTGAGGTGGGTTAAAGGGCACGACAGGAGTAAAGGTAATCGCATTGACGACTCTTTAGCCAAAGAAGCGGCTGGACTGAGAATTTTAGTACCCAGTGGCATCTATGGCCTGATGACTTCGACAATTGCGGAACTAGTCAAATGTTACACCCATGCTCAATCGCTAAAGAGATGGGATGGAATCAAAGGATGCAATCTTGTCAGGATAACCCTGGGCGACCCTGGGAAGCTGGCGCCGAAGAAATATCTGGCGATGATCAGAAAAAGTCTACGAGTAACAGTAGGATTTCTGACTGGCCACTGTCAACTAAGGAAACACCTCCATAATATGAGGCTAGTGGACACACCTATATGCAGGATGTGTGAACAGGAAGATGAGACTGTCAGGCATATCATGTGCGAGTGCCCGGAGTTATCGTCAATAAGAGAGTGTGTGTTCGGCGAGTCTTGGCCTACACCTGCCGATATAAAGGAGATGTCTCCCAGTGACCTGTCCACCTTCCTGGAAAGGACAGGATGGACGAAGACCTAGGAGGACAACTCCTCGGGAGGATTTACAATGGGTCACATGTGGCCTAATTGCTGTGGGCTTACACTCACCCTCTCTACTCTACAGATACAGATATACTTTACAACCTATTCTCAAAAACTTTCAAAATTATCTAACCGTTTCGAAAGAGTGGGACCACAAACACCGTGACATGAGTTTATTATATATTAGATGAGATTCAAAATAGTGTTGATTCCTAAAATCAAATTTCATGTATTCATTTATATAAAGTTCTGACATCGTGAGAAGTTTCACATCAGAGAAATGACATCTACAGGAATCCAGGAATCTCAAATTTGTCATGATCCTCATAGCATATTTTCGAATTTCGAAAACTGTCAAAATCGCTACTTCCACCCCAAATGTTAATATAATATAGAACATGGGTATAAACGTTCTTAAAGTAAAATATTTCAGCAAATGTAAGTATTTGTGCTTCTGCAAAAATCCTCAAACTTGGTTTCTCACAAAGAGAATCAATGTGTAGACAACATTTTAAACGATAAATAATAATAATAATAATAATAATGTTTAATTCAAAATGTATAAAAAGATAAAAGACAAACATCCAACAAGTAAAGAAATACATACATATATATGCATACAGATATACACACATATACATGCATCCACCCATTGACAAAAGATAGTGAACAAATCAAAAAGCACATTAGGAAAAGCCTTGAGAGTGAGTATTTGATTCATTCAAAAAAGATTAAAATGGAAGCAATGTGTTAAATAATCAAATATAGTATTGACGTAGTGGAACATGTTTTGTGAATGGAATAGAATACATATATACACACTCATATACACAACATACATATACATACATATACTTAGACACATTCTTGCAAACATAAACTCAAACATATAAACTTACAAAGATCTACAGAGCGTTGATTGTGGGAGAGGATGATATTCAAATGTATTTATTGGTCGTTTTAATTGATGAGACGGTGTAAATCCATTCTTGGGTAGTAATGTATCCAAATTTTAATTTTTTTTAAAAAGCGGATTTGAGTTGATACATTTCAATTCTATTGGTAATAAATTGTAGATTTTGGGTCCCAAGTATTGATACGATTTTTGAAATTTGGTTTTTTCGGGTTTGGGGACTTTTGATGCATTTTCTTTATGTCTTGTTGAGTGGGGATGATCTATCATTACAATATTCCAGGATATCTCATGTCTTCGAAGAAAGAGATGTTTTTGTTTAAAAAAAAAAGCAGTTTTATTTTTCCATGGGTTCAGAACGAGTCTGGAGTTGATTAACCAGTTTTCTTCTTCTTTCACAGATGATATAACAATGTTCTGCATTTCAGAATATACGTCAACTGTTATAAAAATTAGATAAATGTTCTCATTTCATGGGCTACGTAAATTCGATTAACGATTTTTTCACTTTTTATGTTGGTATCCTCGTCCCAAACATTTGTTCAAAGTTTCAGCTGTTTAGCATGTTCAGTTTGTTGGTGAGAGACATAAAAGTTACAACTATTTTTCCGCTAAGGCAATTTTCTGCTATCGAAAAAATGGATCATAGAACTTGTATGAAATTTTACGTAAAAAATGGAATTAACTGCTCAAAAACACTTGAAATGTTGACAATGGCATTTTTTCGGAAATTTTAGTCATGAAGCGTGTGGCAACGAAGTTCCTTCCAAAATGACGTTAACGGCGATCCAAATTTGCCTAAAAGGGTCATAACTGGTGACTCATTATGGGTATATGATTATGACATCGAAACCAATGTCCGCATCGAAAACAACACCGCAATCATACATCAGCCACCGTATTCACCAGATTTAGTCGGCTGTTCAAATACATGACAAAAATGCATATCAGAACTGTTTCAAGGATTAGAAAAAATGCTGGCACAAGTATAATATATCTGAGGGGGACTACTTTGAAGAGGAAAAAAATTAAAGTTGATGAATACATATTTTTGGAAAAAACTAAAATTCACCTTATTTTTTGAACAGACAGCGTATTTGTACAGCCACCGCTCTAAAACGATTATCCTGCAGTACAATAATCATAAAAAATTAATATGCACGACAAATTTCCTAAAACTGTATATTGTTCAAGGTCGAACTTGTGAAGCAAACTGAAGAAGGAGATGTCAGCAACTACCAAGCGAACGGGGAGTTCGATTTGATTGGTTTTTCGTCCGTGAAGAATATCGAATTCTACTCATGTTGTCCGGAACCTTATCCGGACATAACCTACACCATCAAATTGAGGAGAAGACCGCTCTTTTACGTTTTCAATCTGATCTTGCCATGCATACTCATTAACGGAATAGGTGAGTTGATAAGTTTACAATTCATGAAAAATAAAGTAATAGTTTTTTATTTCTGCCTGTTATTTCTCAATAACAAATCTTAATTCCCTATTTTGAAAATCGACTTGAGAAAGATTTGCTTCCAAATTCAAAATGGCTAATATAAACATACATTTCTTTATAAAAACAGCTATAAAACCATCAGGTCCAAAAAAGTATTTTGTGAATTGGTATTTTCGTTGATAACCTCAACGACATTGATTCCAAAATAACTAAAACTAACTGGTTTTTCATAGTTATAATGAGGTATTTCTGTGTTACCATGACAAGTTACAGAGCAAAATAATTAACGAATAGCAAAGCATTTTCTTTTTGTATGTGCATCAAGTTTGGTAGATAGTAACTTTTTTCTTTCATCATCAACAAATCTTCAGAATGATTCAAGTATCTTTTTCTGTATTATTGTTACCTTCGTTGTTGTTCTGTAATTGAGAATTGAAGAAACCCATTATTGTAGAAAAATAATACTGTTCATCCATAAATTATTTTTCTTTTTTGTTTTCAGCACTCTTGGTATTCTATGTTCCATCTGAATCCGGAGAGAAAGTAACGCTTGGCATCAGCGCGCTTCTTTCAATGACTGTTTTTCTCATGACCATTCGAGAGACATTGCCTCCTACAGAAAAAACACCTCTTATCAGTGAGTATGAATTTCGATATTTCAAAGAGCATGGAAAACATTATACGCAACTTAAAAGCAAAACCAAAAGTTGCATATCAAAAACATTAGGTTTCAAAGTTTGGGATCTGGATGTTAACCAGAAGAATCTATAGCTTTTTATGACCGTTGGTTACAAATTTTGAAAATTGAAGTAACGTAGTGACATATTTCCAAAACTTTGTCCATTCTTTTATTCGTACTGAAGCATAAAATCCTAATGCGTTATATTGATGATTCAAAATTATTTGAGAAAAAAATGAAAATAAACATAGCTTCAGGATCTTTTCACAATATAAAGTTGGCAACAATTGATGCTCTGCTCTGCCAGGGTCTCAATTTTGTTTTAAAACTATCCCACTCCACGGTTGATAGACCTTAATATAGTGGTGACCTGATCGGAGGTCAGAATGCGACTGCATTCGTTGGGTAGGTGAGCAACACTTTCAACGACGGAAAGGAGCCAAGTATCTCGAAGATTCCGTTAGTAATACTGATTGGGTTCACAGTCATACATACACGTTCGTTTGTGGTATCTTTTAGGAGCATTTTCACCTCCGCCTCTATGAGTGACTCTCACACTAACGCCCCCGCACATGGTATTTGTTAAAAGGTGAAATGAACAGACACAATCGTTGTTAGTGATGACATGTGTATCCTCATTCAGTGTTGCAAACTCCAGTTTGCAAACAGTTTTCCAATGTAATGGATCGGCCAGATAGGTTACTTCATCTCACTCCTTTGAGTTTCTTCGTGTAGGAAAAAGTAGAAAGTTAATACTATTTGGACTACAAATTCAGAAGAGCTAGTAGAGAAAAATCTTCGAGAATGAAACTTGATGGAGGTGATTTTAAGCAATATAGCCGTGGATTTTGTTCATATTGTTGTTGTTTGTTATTGGGTTTTTATCAATAAAACAACGAAATTTCATATTCACAAATGAAATGATTTTGAAAATATCTCAGAAGTAATAGTAGAGGGACAAGACATGGTGATGTAAAACTCGACCTCCATACCTTTGGAAAAATATAGCCAGCTGCTAAAGGGTGAAGTATCGCATATAAATTTCATACCAAAATTGGATTCTCTCGAAATAAAATAAAAATGTCTTTTGAATTTTTTTCTACACATTCCTTTGTAACTTACAGAGGGTCGATTTAAGGCCCCCGTACACCTAAAAATTGATCGTTTATAATATTTTATGATACTGATATATCAGAAAAATCTAATGTAATGAAAATACTAAATGCAATAAAGCAAATTATTCCAAACTACATTATTTGTTACTTTACAACATCGGAATATCCATATCAAAGGCTCGTTCCTCATTTTTTGCTCATATTGTGAATATTATCCCATTTCCGTACGTCGTTTGAATAACAAACAAAGAACAATTCCATTTCTTTCAGTTTCCAGAAATTCACATTAAAACCGAAACGTTGTTAGTACTGATTCGATTTCGTAAGCTCCTTTATGAAGTTAGTATACGTAAAGAACATGAATAAATTGGCTGTAGACAAACCAACCAACTGGAAAAGTGCTCACAAAGAATATCAGGGAATGTAACAAAATTGCAAGCACACAAAATATTTTGGAGGTAAATTTGTGATGAGAATAAACTCATGTTGCTTTCCGGAAGCACATGTGGGACAGTAATTTTACAATACGATGTTCTGAATGCCAAATTAGTAATTGAAGGCCCTATCTGTCTGTCAAAGTACTAATAATATTGTAGACAAAACGAACTAAAATTGAAAGAGAAGCTTTCATACACTAACTTAAATCCCATCGTAGGCACGAGTTTACTTTTATTGCTTGGTCAATTGTAATCAGAGTTACCACCGTTATAATTTTCTTATGAAATGAACTTTTTTACTATTGAATGAACTTCATTACGTAGAAACTCTGAATGTTTATCAAACTGCCAGTGGTTCTTTCATTTTGCAATATCTGCCCTGTTGTACAACGAATCTATAAATGATAACATTTTAATATTAGTACTTGTTTAAAAAGGATCTGAAACTTCAATATATGCGAGCGCTTTTGATAGCAGACTATGCTATAATCTTCATGGATATACTCAAACTGGACGTTTTATCTTCTTGTTTGTTCTTTTATACGGTTAGATCGCCGTATGCAGCGTGTGACAGCGAAGTTCGTTCCAAAATTGCTGAATTTGAACCAAAAACCCAGTTGCACGAACATCACTCAGGAATTGTTGGATGACGTCAACGGCTATCGAAATCAAAGTCCAATCTTCCCAATAGAAGATCCCAGGAGAACCAAGACTGAAAAAAGCTCATTATTTTCTCCGAATACCGTGGCGTAGAGCATCAGGAGTTCTTGCCACATAATCGTATGGTCAATAACGACTATCTTGAAGTTATGCGCCGCTGCTGGCGAGAAGCCATACGAAGAAGACGTCCGGAATTGTGGAAAAACAATGGCTTTCGCATCACGATAATTCACCTACTTACTCGTTATTTCTTGTTCGTAATTTTGTGGCCAAAAACATTACCGTCATCATGCCTCAGCCAACGTATTCACCAGATTTGCCCCCCGCGACTTTTTCCTACTCTCAAGATTGAATAAATTCATGAAAGGACGGCGTTTTGCGACGATTGAGGAGATGAAAATGGAATCGCTGAAAGAGCTCAAGGGCATATCGAAAACTGCATATCACAACTGCTTCGAGGATTGAAAATAACGGTGTATTATATATGAGGACTACTTCGAAAGGGATAAAATAAAAATCAATGAATAAATGAATAATTTTTGAGAAAAATGAAAAATCATTTTATTTTCTGAACAGATAATGAACTGACAATGAACAGTCATCAAGGAGTTCCATGTTGAAACTCATTGATGACTGTTGTCCATGAAACGGCTATAAAATATTATTTTTGGGATATGGAAAGTTACTCTTGAAACAGGCGGATAACTTTGAGCCATGATGGTGTTTTTCCTCCCCTATAAATCATCAAAATAATTTATTAAATGAACCATTTTGACTACAATTCGAACTGAAACAAACAATTCCAAGAAAATTGATAATATTATATGTATTTCCTGTTACATACCATCGAAAAATGGCAGTGATATTTTTTTGCTTTCTTTTTCCTTATCATAAAGAAATTTTATTTTGCATTCATTCAAATAGCATAATATAGCTTCTACTTCACTCAAAAAAGTTGCAGGATGTAGCTTTCGATGAAAAACACATGTATTCAAAATAGAATTGCGGAAAGTGGAAAGGGCATATTTTTTGGAGAGATCAGTTTTTGAGTGTAAGCTTTTGGCTTCCTACTTCTTCATCATCATGTGAGAAGGAAGAAAGAAAGTGATTAACATCAATAAATACTTTTCACGAAAATGTAAAGATTAAGTAAAATTAATCCAAAACAACTTCTTTCAAACATATGAATATTGAAGTACACAGAAGTAACCTTTTTTTTCATTCAGAACGCTACACATATGGAATTTCACTTACATGGACTATCAAACTCCGGGTGTAACACATGAGCTGAAAAGTCCCGGGCCCAACAAAGAAAACGCGTTTTTCTCAATATCAATTTTGTAGAACGATTTATCTTTTGCCTCAAAATAGGCATCCGTTTCAGCAATAATCTCTTCATTCGAGAAAAATTTCCTAACGATGAGCATTTTTTTAAGGTCTGCGAACAGCCAGTAGTCACTGGGAGCTAAATCTGGCGAATACGGTGGATGTGAGAGCATGGCAAAGCCCATTTCATGCAATTTTGCCATCGATTTCATCAATTTGTGACGCTGTCTATTTTCTTGATGGAGCAGCACTGTCTTTTTCTTCTAATGGAGTCGTTTTTCCGCAATTTCAGCCGTCAAACGCTCCAATAACGCTATATTATATTTACTGTTGATGGTATTTCCCTTCTCAAGATAGTCGATGAATATTACACTACGCTCATCCTGAAATACCGAGGCCATTTTTCAACCACTTTTTCAAAGCGGTAAAAAATACTTTTACAAAGTGTTGGTCAACATTGAGCTCACGTAGCGCTCACTTTGAACGGAGGTTTCTCATAGTCAAATCCTCATGCAATATAAAGCCAACACGTTGTTTTGATATCTTTACAATGTCAGCTTATCATGCAACTTCACTTTTCGATCATTCAAAACGATTTTGTGGATTTTTTTATGTTTTCTGGTGTTACTGCCTCATTTGGACGTCCACTGCATTCTGCATCATCGGTGTCTCTACGACCACGTTTGAAGTCAGCAAACCAAAGTTTGCCTAATTGTTGTTTCTGTTTTTGTTGTTTCAAGTCCTTGCTTCGCCTGCACGGTATTTTTCCCTTCAAGAAGCAGTGTGAAACTAAAACACGAAATTATGCTTGGTCCATTGTTTTGGATACTGTTATATGACGAGGCACACTACTTTTTCATAAAATTACGACCTCATATCATTTCTATTCAGAATTTGATAGGTTGAATTGGAACCTCTGGTGTAAAGTGAATCTATTGAAATGATCTATTTTTATCAATAGATCAATTATCACTGTTCGAAGTACTAGCTGAATGAGAAAAAGTTATTCCGTTCAACTCAATGTTCATATGTTTTTATCTGAAAAAATCTAGAGATCATCTGAAGAGTTTTTATTGAAGTTATTTTTTTCTGTTTTCTTCCAAACTTTTCAATTTTTTATTTAATGAGAAATGGAAAGCTGTAAAAGCTTCTTCCCAAAGTATACTGTATACCAGTCATAAATAAATGCAAAGCCTCAATAAATCAGTGACAAAATGGGAAACGGCGTCAACAAGTAAAGTGGGAAGCAGGTGAATCGAATTGAACTTTTAATAAAGTCAAAGTAGTTCCCGGCACGCATTCGGATAACTTTGGTTTCCCAAGAGACCGTGACAGTCTCTGCCGCACTTTGGAAAACACTTTGACGAGATTACCGGGCTGGATTTCCTCAAATACTCCTCGATCGTGAAAGACACTGTTCAGTAGTTCACTTTCCCATTCGTCTTCGATCAATCGAAAGCTTCGTCTGTACAGAACAACGAATAACTTCAAAGTCTATTATCCTCCCAAAATTGATCATTTAAAATGTTTACATTCAACTTTGAATCAGTTATCTCTTCAGCAATGCTGGTTTGATATGGTCAAATATTTTGAATTATTCTAAAGTGGAGATACGGGGTTGTCATCAATTATAAATCATTACGGAAGTATTAGGTTGTTCCAAAAGTTTTGTCAGTTTAAAAGTCATGTCTTTTCGTAGTTCCATATCTCAATAAATATTTATTCTAATGTTTAGTGGTATATACTCATCGAAAGAGCATTTTATTTTCTATAAATTGATGGTTTTCATTAGTAAAATAGCTATAGGAGTTCTATGACAGTTGACCAATCAAAAGCTACCGCGCGTACAGCGGGAAATTCAAATCAGTAGATGAACTAACCGACTCCAAGTACAAAATCCCATATATTTTCTTATGGCACTAAATTTTTGAGGTAGGTGTGTTTCGGAAGGAAAGTGGGAAAGAGAAACGTGTGACGTAATCGATGCAGAGAAGGATGGAATGATAATTGCAAAAAAATTAGCGTCATGAGAAAATACATGGGATTTTGCGCTCGAAGTCGCTTTGTTCATCTACTGATTTTCCGCTGTACGCACGGTAGCTTCTGATTGGTCGACTGTATGATGCCAAAAGTGGAGAAGGGGGCTCTGAGAGTCTAAGGCCTAATTCACACAGAATTGACGTCTGGTAGAGACGAGGATCGGACCTCTGTCCTTTCCAATCTATGTGAACAGGGCCTGAGATCCAGAAATCACCCGAATAGACCTCCTCAAATTTGCACGTGTTTTTCCATAAAGAATGTCATAGAACTCCTATGACCAAGATAGAAAATCATTAAATCACGTAAAAGTTTACAAGAGCGAACTTTGTTGGATCACAAGTTCATTTAGTTGTTTTGTAGTGGAAGTTACAGCCAAAGATAGGACGTCGGAGTTCGAAGTTGAATTTTGTCCTTGTAACTGACCGCCTCGGGGGAAATCGCCTTTACATTCAGTATTGTACTTCTTAGTATAGTTCATCAATAGTCCAGCCTAGCACCGCTGATGAGATCTTGGCGGGTCTGTTGTTAGGCTGTTACACTTATACAGTAAATTTTTCCAGATCTTTAAAAGATATAAACATTTTTCTTGTCGGTGAAGCTATGCATTGGCAGCTGGCAAAAGGCAAGTGTGTCTACCATATCAGCGAAGCAATTTCTGGGCTGTTCCATCATTATGAAATTATGTTTTATACAATTCGGAACCTTGTGGAAAGAGTACATCGCAAAGTAACCCGGAAAGAACGGTATTTAAGAAAGCGGGAGTACGTTTAGGGTATCAAATGTCATATAAAAATTTGCTTTTTCTTAAATTACATTGAGAGCCGTTGACCAAAATGTTGACTTACATTTTCTCGTTCAGGCATGTACTATGGAGTGAGCATATGTTTGGTTTCTTTCGCATCAGCGCTGTCAGTTGTCACTCTCAACATCTACCACAGAGGAGTCAGAGGAGCAGCTGTCCCGGGACTATTGAGGAACGTCGTCTTGGAAAAATTAGCTCCACTGGTTTTTATGAGGTTCGACAATAACAGACATCGAAGTCCTCCAGTCCAGGTGAGGAGTTAATTTATTGTGGGACTAAGTTCAAACTATGTAATTAAAATCACATTTTCTCATGAGTTATTCGTATAGAGTCAGCATTCATATTTATGTCGAATTACTCTCACATTCACACTCATGTGGAATATTCAAACACGAACAGATCTTTTAGCGAAAATCTAAAATTGTTCACATTGACGTCTCTTTTACATATAGCATATGGTACAAACTAGTTTCATCCAATACAAACGAATTCAAACGACTTCAATTGAACGAGGTATTCATTGAAATTCCCTGAAAATGAACTGTAATAACTTTGGAAACTCGCTTTTATGCGGTGTTTTCGTTACAAAATATTTCTCTAAACTGTATTTCGCCATTCGAAGAGTACTGAAAAGCCCGTGGGGCTTTTGCTGTTCGCTTTTCTCAATATGGAGGGCATTAATGAGGTGCAGTCTGATTCGTTGTTTTCAACAAACATCATACTTCGGGATACAAAAATACTCGTTGAGGAAAGGAAAATATGGTAATAATGATGAAACTACGTTTATGAACTGAGACGCCAAATTAGTGTTGTGTAATTTTTCATTACAATAACCACCACATTTATTGTGAAAATATGGTGGCAGAAGTGGGATACGAACAATTCGAAAAATCTCGCGTGATAGGTAAACAAATAAATATTTTTCGAAATGAAATAGTTATTTATCAACTTACGGGGCATAGAAAATACTGTGATGTTTCTATAAATATTTAACATTTGCATTTTGAATTCAATAACACACACGAACCGCATTTTAGATTGTAGACACCCGATTTATTGTCCTTGTCGATGTGGGATTTATTGTTTTTCATATGTCTACCTACGGTGTTATCAATCTTTTATGCTATGTTGATGTTCTCTTTAGTTAGTAGTAATCTCTTCTATTAATGCTAGTATTAGTGATCGTTGGATTTCCTATTGAATGACCAACAATAAGTTAATCTCTCTCCATTGTTAAATGTATTCGCATAAAAAAAATCCTTGAATTAGGCGAATCATTTTACCTGATGCCACCTGTTCTTCAAACTACCTGTTCACCAACAGTAACCTCTATTAATTGAAGTCGATAATTTGTATAATTAGTATTGTAAATTAGTGAAGAGTACCTGTAAACTGAGGAAACGACTATGTAGTGTATTCAAACTGAAAATGAACTATTTGTTAAGAATAACATCAAAATAAAATGTTTAATAAGTTTACAGAATATTAAGCACAAGAAAATGGTCAAAAACAAGTAATTTGGTTGAAGGAAATGAAATAAAAAAACAAACCAGTTTGATTTTCTAATTTCCTCTAGAAATTTGTGGTTATGTGGAAAAACGGTACATACAAAATGTGTAGATCATTTCATTCACAAACACCTGTTTTCAATAAAAGGTACAGTTTCAGTGGAAATCATAGAAAACCATTTTCTACTCTCAAAATTCGCCCCTTTCATCCTCCTTACCTTGAACCGACTTAAATTTATTTTTCCTGAAATTAGCACAATTCCTGCTATTTATAATAATTTTTATGCTGTTATTATTTTTTTGTTCCTTGCTTTTGGAATAAGCACGAAACAAGTAATAATACAAATAAGTAGGAGTCCGAATCTCTAATATTAATAAAAAAGCATTATCAACCACATTCAAATAAACATACATAAATTTTTATAATATTTTTGCAGGAAGTCAATCCACAAACGGGAACAAGGCTGGATTGTCCATGGCCGTGGGTAGATAAGCAACAGCAAGAAGACGGATATTTTTTACAACAGCGCCAGCAAAAATCTCCAAGGTTTCTACAAAGATCCAAAGAGGCCGATCTAGGTACGTGCACCATTAATAAATCAATTCATTTTCAAATACGCGACGTACCTACTATGACTGCTTTTGAGGATCAAGTCAGTACACCTCGAACTTCACTGTTTGAGAACTCTTTCATTTGGAGAACCGCGTTTATGTGGAATAAACATCCTGACAACTTTTTTTCAAATGGATTAAATCTCCAGCGATTCAAATCCAATGTGAATCGCTACTTTCGCACAGGCACCGCTCTCATAGCGCTTCAAGAAATTTTCTGTGGTGCTTGTCTTTTGTCCTTAAAAAATGAACAAATGTAAAAGAGGTGGTATGCAAAGATAGGTACAAGAATTATCTCCGTTTTGAAAGTACCTATATACTTTAAAAGATTTTTTTTTACCAGATGAAGCTATGAAAATAACAAGATGACCATGAAGTATATTCTGAAAAAATTGTTATCAATGAAACTTTTTTGAACTATTTTTTCTAGTTAGTTTCTATATCTGGATTTACCTGCACTCTTTGTTTTCATATCAAACTCTTTCAACTGGTTTTTCATTCATGAATTAACACTATTATCTGCTCTGAATAAATTCTAGTAACGATTCTATTTCTAGTGCCTCTAGTCTACCTCGATCTGCCTCTATTTGTATATCGATGCTCGGTTTGACAACAGGCCAACGTTAAAATCTGAATCTAATGATTGTGTTTCAGGTATTTTTCGTTTTAAATGATTTCTGATCCCAATTATGTCACAACAAATATGGTATCATGAAACCCCAGAAAGACAACCATGTTCATTGATCTTTGTGGAACCACATATCCGACAATTTCCTTTCAGTTGCCACAAAAAATTATAATAGGAGATCCTGACGACAATAAAAAAAGAAAATTAGCAAGGTCGTAGACTTGAGATTGCCAATTGCAGACCAATATCACTGATTCATGATTTTGTAAGAAATATAGAGAAAATCAATATCAAACTAACCAGATTTTTGAAAAAAAAAAGATATCAGAGCAGAAATTTGTATTCGGAGAGAAAAGAATGCCACCTTAACATTGGAAAAAACGATTTTTCCAAATAATTCAATACTGTTGACAATAAAAGACTTCTCACGAAACTAGAAGAAATCAGCATGCAGAAATGAATTTTCAAAGTATAAAGTATGGTGTTTCCTAAAGCACGATTTTGAGTTCTATCATGTCTATCATCTACATGAATACTTTATTGAAAATGCATTCCAGAGGAATTATTCTCAGATTTGAAACCGACACAAATATATTTCTTAATGAGGACAATATGCGAAAAGGAGATTTCAGAAGTCCTATAAAGTGGTTTCAATGTAACAAATAGTTTCTGGATGTAGAAAAAACAGAATACTTTTACGTCAACATGACTCAATGACTCGAAATTCCTCATCTGAAAGTTTGCTCCAATCTAATCCTATTATATTTATTGTCCTGTGGCATCTTAGGCTGGGGGGATTAAGGATTCTCTATTCTACCTGAAAATGGTCATAAAAGTTTTCGAAAACAAAATCAAAACTAAACTAATGGAACATAATTATAATACCATAGATAAAGAAAATGAATTCCTAACCCCAGTCGTCATTGATAGGTCAAAGGAATTATAATAATTTCGTACCAAAAGTTTGGTAGATAGTCTCGGAAAACATTAATTCTATTGATAAGCAAAATAATTGACATTTGAGATAAAAATAAATTATTGGTTCAAAAGTTCTGGTAAAGCTCATCGAATTATACTGCAGAACAAAATCGAACTTTTTTTTTGTTGCAGAAGATTTTTCACCTATTGTTTACTAATTTAGGCTCGCTTATTTCAAATCTACTTTCAGATATTTTCTAGCAGCTCTAGTTTAGGAGAAACAGGTAACTCCTTAAAATGTACTCTCTATAATAATAATAATTTTATTAGTCTCAAGAAACACACAGTTTTTAGTCAATACAATTTCTAAAATAGGTTTGAAAGGTTAAGGTTCGTCAATATAGTTTTAAAAAAATGGTTGTAGATAAATTAGAGTTACATAAAAAATACAAGTTAACAAGATAAAATTCCAATCGTATGAAAATTGACTAAAACGTAAAGCCATGAGCTTTACAAATTATAAGTCACATATCTAACATATTATATATATTCAAAGTTGAGTAAAAGTTCGGGAGGTGACCACAAAAGTGTCTCTCTCTTCTTGAATAACTTCGAAAAATTGATCAATTTCATATAAAGGTTGTTTGGTTAATATTTTCTTCAATAAGTTTTTGAATCTTCTGAATGGCAAATTACGAAATTCGACAGATAAGGCATTGTATAGCTTAATTCCTATATTATCTGTTCTTTTCAACCTATTAGCTATAGAAACAAGGTTTAATTTATTTCTTGTATCATGTTGGTGTATATCCTTGTGAGCAACTTTATTCATCAAGTTTTGTTGAACAAGAAGCAGATTTTCATAGACAATAACTGAGTATAGGGTCATTATTTTAAGTTTTGCAAATATTGGTCGACACTTTTCATCATAACTGGAAGAGATTATGCTTCTTACTGCAGATTTTTGAATGACAAATATTCTATTAAGATGTAGCTTTGATGCATTATTCCAATTGATTATACCATACCTAAGGACTGAATGAAAAAGTGAATGATATGTTGCAAATGCCTGTTGATATCGCTATCGTCAATGTCTTACTATTTTCTGTTTCTTTTTTTGCAATGGCTTCGTCTAGAAGGACCTGTGTGCCTACGTGGGGTACTTTCAACGGCCATTGGAAACAAACAAGCCTTGGATACCGACTATAGTGTGTAAAACGTGTGTGGAGTCTTTACCATAATGGAAAAATAACAAGAGGGATCCCTTGAACCTCATTAGTTCGATGATTTGGCGTAAACTGTCGAACCACCACGACGACTGTTATTTCTGCATCGTGAACATAACAAGAATTAACCGCCAAAATCATTCCAAGTGGGTTTATCCTACTGTATCGTTAATTACTAGACCTGTCCTGCATTCAACTGATACATTAGAACCCCAACCAAGTACATCTCAGGTACGTCCGCACGAAATTGTTCAACCAATGGAGGAAAGTGACACAAGCTGCGAATATAGTAGTAGCCGAAAGACCAAGACCATTCAACCAAGAGGATCTAAATGATTTAATAAGAAATCTCGGATTGTCTAAAACTGCATAAGAACTTCTAGCTTCTCGATTGTAAAAAGTACTTCCTTTGTTTTCCAAGGAGGACGATTTTGTTTTTTACAATAATATTCCGGGATTAATGACTGAAATTACGACCCTTATTGACGTTTGTTTATAGACTCGTCAGAACGCTGGCTTAAATGTGTACTTTTACATAGTGGCAATGAACTTGGTTTTTGCCTATTGCTCATTCAATCAAAGCTGAAGAAGAATATTCCACAATATCTCTGGTTTTAGACAAAATTAAATACACAGAACACAACCGTGGATTTGATTTGCGTAGACCGTAAGATGTTAATTTCCTTTTGGGCCAACAAAGCGGTTTTATTTGCTTGTGGGACAGCAGAGCTAAAAGTGAACATTGGATCAGAAAAGATTGGCCGCTCAGACACGAATTATTACGAGGCAAGTTTAATGTAATAAACACGTCTCTAGTGCCTGGGAAACATATAATATCACCTCCTTTACACATCAAACTAGGATTGATGAAACAGTAAGTAAAGGCTCTAAACAAAGAGGGGGAATGTTTTCAATATATATCCGGATCGTTTCCAAAATTGAGTGCTGAGAAGTCAAAGGGTACTATTATCAGTTACTATTATACTTTCGGCAACTAATATGCAACATGAACATTAAGATGCATTTCCTTCATAACCATCTTGAACGATTAGGTACCCGGAAACCTTGGAGATTTAGGCTAGAAGCAAGGAGAATGCTTTCTGGATCATCCTGATTAGTAACCACACTCTAACTCATCCAAGAAAGTCACATAAAAGAAAGTTTTGTTCTAATAAGATAGTTAATTCCCATCATATCTCAAAAAGTAGAGCTGCTAGCAAAAATTTGAGTACAGGAGTATAGGCAGTACAGGCATAAAAAAAAGTGAATTATCATTCATAATAATTAAAGGAAAGTAATACCTGGTTTACTGTGAGATTTACCAGATCAAAAATGTTGCTTCTAGGCTGATTTTCGTTTACTTTGTCGTATCTATATGTAATAAATATGGTGAATAAACACTTTCAACAAACTTCAAGTTTCATAAATATTCATGTACTAAAATTCATGAAACATCGATGTAGCTCTCTTCTGAAATATTTTTTTATTTGATTGTCACTGTATAACTTGATTTTGTGAGATAAATATGTAATTGTAAAACCATTCACAAGTGAGGAAAGAAGTTAGTTATACGATGACGGTGAAGTTTACTTTGAAATACTTCTTTCTTTGTTATTCAACAGGCATAGTAAGAAAAGGGTCAGTTGACAGGAACAGCAAACTTTGTCGGAAAGGAAACCAAACTTACTAATCCAACAAAGCAACCGACTGAAGTTTCTAAACTCCTTCAGGAAAGATATTACGATTTATTTCCTTGTTCTTAGATGAAAAGTTTCTGTTCTTTTCCAATTCTAAACATGACCAATTCAGTTTGGAAAAAAATATTGAACATCGTTCGGTAAAGGAATAGCAATCAATCGAGGATGAAAACGATAAGAATTTAATTGTAATTTAGAAATAGTGACCTCGCCAGGATGTTGTATATTAAATGTTAGATCCGTTTATGAAAAATGCAATAAGGGACAAAACATTATTTTTGGTGTGAATTACTCACGCTAGTTTAGTCTTTCTACAGACCACGATCTTTTGTTAGCAACATTATCTGTCTGCAGATTCCTAAGAAGTTATTTGTCTGAGTAAAAGCTAGTTAATGAACTAAATTGATGGATGTAGCCGTTACTACGTGGTAGGAGATCATAATGAAAAGAGAAATGAAAATTTCTATGTTTTTTACCACTTTCAATTGTAACTATCAT